TGGTGTTGAGACTGCATTATCACAGTTTTCGGTGCTTTAATAACTATTGATTTGTTTCAAAGCCTTCCAGTACAGTGATGCTGTTTTTTGGACATGCAGCTGTACTGTAGCTGTATGTTTATAAGTGTACTAACTAATGCTTACAAGTGATTTCACACACAGGTTTGGTGAATTGGTTGTTGTGAGTTATTTCAATGCTTTTCTTGTCGTTTTTAGGGTCCGTTCGAACATCTTCGTCAGCAGATGAATGATGTCTTGGGAGATGGAGGGATCCTAAAAGAGGTGGTGCAGCCTGGAGAGGGCCCACCTGTACCCCAAAATGCTTCAGTATTGAGTATTTACAAGTCTAAAAGCTCCTGGTGCAGTTGTTATTTCCCAGATGATTTTGTTCTGCCATAAACTCCTTATTCTCTTTCTTCCAAGTGCATTACTCTGGTTTCCTGGAGTATTCTGACCAACCTTTTGAAACCACCACACACCTCAAGTACCCCCAGATGATGAAGTTAGGGAGAGGTCAGTGATCAGCAGAGATTTGTTAACCTGTAAAAAAAAAAAATTGTGGCCTACAGGAGAAAATTTCTCCCTGATTGAACACAGTTCTTTCAATTATCGTTCAAACAGACGTGACGCTGGCCGGACTGGAGCTGGGTCTGATGACCATGCGGAAAGGAGAGTTCTCTCGTTTCCTCTTCCAGCCCCAGTATGCATACGGGGACATGGGTTGTCCTCCGTTCATCCCCGCCGCTGCTGTGGTTCTGTATGAGGTTCAGATCCTCGACTACCTCGACTCAGGACAAGTGGACAGCTTCATTGCGCTGAGCCCGGTGCGTGCCGTGGTGTTGTACTGAGAAGAAAATTACATAAGACATTGTTCTTCCACTTGACATCAAACGTTATGCGACTAACAGGAGATTTATTTATGTTTTCATGGATTTGTACTCATGCCGGAGAACCTAGGAATCTTTGCTTCCAGAAGACACAACCAATAATTAACTCTTCTCATTTCATGATTAAATGTTTTAATAGCCAAAATAAGGCAGAGGTAGAAAAAAAGGCCTTTGGGGGAGTTCTGTTTGTATTGTTGACTATTTCCCTTCTCTGTCTTCAGGAGGAGCAGAACACAGTTCCTCTGTCCACACTTCTCGAAGTTGTCAACACAGTACGCAGCTTTGGCAACCGTTGCTTCCACCAGAGCCGTTACGACAATGCCAAAGATCGCTACAAACAGGTACATCTGGCAGAGTGTTAAAGATAAAGAAAACCTGGCTAATGTGGGGTTTTTATGTGAACTGGTTAAGGTTTAAAATGTATTTTGTAATGGGTTCCATGTTTGGCTAACAGGCACTGATGCTGCTGGGGAACAGGGACACAGAAGGCGATGCAGAGAAGGAGAGGATCCAGACAGCACTGCTTCCTCTGTATCTGAACCTTTCTCTCACCGAGCTCCGCCTGGACAGCCCACACAAAGCCCTGAAATATGGCAACAAAGCCTTAGAGATAGATTCTGCCAACACAAAGGCTCTTTACCGCTGCGGACAGGTCAGACGGGGATTTTGTTGGTCTTTTCCAAACCATTTGATAAAAGTCCTCGGAGGCCTTTTTAAGTGAATGATAATACATGTTTTGTTCCTTTTTAAAAACAAAAAACAAAAAAAAAAAACCTTATGTTGAATGATATGTTTTTAAACATTTTTGACTATTTTAGCTTGAATTTACAGCAGGTATTGTTATGGTACATTTTGGTTTATCATTTAGCTATATTTTTTACACTGAGGATCCATAGGCAGCTTTTCCTTCATCTCCACCGTCCCTGCATTGCTACTTGCTGACACCCTAGATAACAATTAGTCCATTATTCTGACTGATGTCATCTCTGTCAGGCGTATCTGGAGCTGCATGAGTACGAGAGCGCCCAGACTTGCCTCATAAGTGCTCAAGCAAAGAAGCCCTTTGACAGTGACATCAACAACTTGCTGAGGAAAGTGGCAATGTAAGATGAACCTCTGCTGACACATTTAAGGCGTTTTAGAATGAGTCGAGACAGGATGGTCCAGTTGTAGTACTTTAAAGATAACATAGAATTAATGCGCTTATACTTTCATTTATATTTTTTGTGTGGCATATTTCGTGTTTTAGTTTAAAATGGCAGAACTTATCTGTAGGGCATAAATCCCTCTGAAGATATTTATGTGTGTAAAGGATTTTCTATGTTTCAGGTGCTATAAAGACAGCTTGGACCAACAGAAAGACTTGTACTCCAAGATGTTCAGTGACTTGAGGGCCGACTGAAGATGTAAAGATGAAAAAAAGGTAAGAAATGCTGTTCACTACTGTGTCTGAGGGTTATCAACATTAATCCATTTTCCTTAATATTTTAATATCCTCACGTCCTATGTTTGAGCTTTTCAGAAAGACAGAGACTGATTTCACTAATAAAATGTTTGTGTGTTGCAGAGTAAACAACACTTTCTCTCCAGAGCTGCGTTTTCTGGAAGTTAAACCTTTCATATGTTATGGAAGGAATAATGTTGTACAGATGTGGTGTTCATATCCTTTAACCAAATAAGTCAGTTCCTTCAAATCCTTCAGATGTTTGTTAATAATGTAGCTCAACGGCATTGTTTCTGTTTGAAGATGTGCTTTGCAGAGTTTACTTTCATTACTAGATATGAAGGCTGGAAAAGATTTACACAAAGAGTCGGAGGGGATCTTGAGTGGCTGCATTTTCTATAAAGTTGCAGCCTCTCAGATTCTGTTCATTAATACTGTTTGCTTGAATATTTGCATGGGGTCCTGAGGTGATGATGATAATAAAATAAAATAAAAAAAAAAAATAAATAAATAAATAACTTCAAAAACATTTTTCCTTTGTTGTATATGAATTAGAAAAAGTTTTCATGATGTTGAACTTTGTGGTCAAATATACTAAATATAATTACTGTTCCTGCATTATTGATTTATTTTGTGTTCTCAGTGTGAAATAAATTACCTCAGTTGTACAAACTAAGATGGTCAGTGTAAGTTGCTAAATTCAGCTGGTGACAAAGGAAAGAACACATTGTCACTTTTACAGATGTTGTGTTAAAAGTTAGATTTTGTGCCATGGTCCTTTATTGTGATGATGATAAAAATAAGTGGTTGCATTTCACCTCAGTCTTTATATTCTCATGTGGGAGATTTGGCTTGCAGCATGGAAAAAAAGACAACTGAGAGCAAGTTTCAGTCTATCTGTAGATAATTTACACTTTGATTTTAAGGGCTACTAAACAAACACCAGGGGGCGCACTTGAGCAGTGTCTGCCTCCAGAACAGCAGTCTGCTCCTTTTTCATAAAATGTGATTTAGGGAAGTGTGAAACTTAAAGTCAAGCTTTGACAGAGAAACTTGAAATACAACTAAGATGTGAGATATTTGACCATAAAAAATATATATTAAAATATGAATAATTAAATGTTTAATATGAATAGATTGTTGGAAGATATTCTACAAAATTTGCAAGGACCCATGCTTCATTTTGAGTTTTCCAGTGATGCTTTTAAGTAGTCATCAACCTCCCAGCCTTTACAGCAGCCTGTGCAATAACTCTACTGTCTTTAATATCAACTCCCCATGCACCAAAACATGCTGCAAGACTGTGTGAGGAGGAAATGTTTGATACGTACTAACTGGACAGATACATTTTAAGAATTGGAGGTGGGTAGTCTGGAGGGAGTAGTGGGTGGCCAATGGGTGCGGGGTTAAGATGACAGGAGATCAGAAGTGGGGAGGGGCAGATGGAGGAGCAGCAGAATCTGATTGACCTTCTTTGGTTAATCTTCTTGTCACAGCGTGTGAGTGTTTTACCATCATCTCCCAGCACATGGCCCAGCAGGTCATGCTCTGTTAAAGACTGTTTGACTGGACGCAGGCAGACACAATGGTCTCCAGACTTGTCTACTACCTCCATCTCAGGTGAGGAATGAGCGAGTGAGACAGCTTCTGTGCTCATATGTTTAAGTGTGTGTGTGTTTTTTTTTTTTTTTTTATATTTTTTTACAACATAGATAATAAGCATTTGTCATCCACTTATATCCAGTTACTAATACCAAATTGATCCAGTTTACTGAGACTCTATGCAGAGCCTTTGGTGTATATAACGGTTCATTGCAGGATTTTTAATGTACTTAACATGTTCTGGATTTTAACACTTGAATACTCGTAACTATTACAACATTCAATTTGCCAATATTTTACCTCACAAGACATATTGATAAACTCACTAAATATGTGCAGCGAACTGCCTGGCTAGCATCTATTAAAAATGACCCTCTTCCATGTAACACTAATTACTAATTTTAATACCACTGAAAAGGACACAGCATTCCTTCAACCAGCGGGGGGGGACCACCTTGGACGATTAATGTGACGTTCTGAGAGGCAGTAAGTAACACGGTTTTCTATTGTAGTATTATCTACTTTTCACTTTGAAGGCCCAGAAGCTGATACCATGGATTCAACATAAGAGATGAAGAAAATGGGACAATGGGGTCCGTATCACATAAGAATAAAAATTAAAACAATTACTTCCGCAGTCCAGGTTTATTGCCAAGTAAGTTTTCACATACGAGGAATTTGCCTTGGTACATTGGTGTATAAGAATCACAATCAAGCGTAGAAAAATATAAATAAAGATAAAAAAATGGAGACAATAAATAGGAGCCACTATATACAAATATAAATATAATGTGTTACAGTGTTTGATTGCAGTCTTACACTGTTCCTCTAACTATATATGTACCCTTAAATAGCCTAAAAATCAACACTTTATCTTAAATTCAAAATGTGCACCATCCACATACAGTACAGACTGCACTGTATGCAGCAGCTTATGAACTGGGTGTGCACTTAATAAAGAGATGTTAATATTTACAGAAAATGGCTTATTGATGATTCATTTATTGATTAGAATCCTAGAAACACCTTCCTTATTATTAAAAAAAAAAGATAGCCTGAAACATTGCAGCAAGAAGTCAGCACACCATTTGCAGCAGAAGGGGGCGCCATCCCATATGAAACTTCTGCCCTGTGGTTTCAGCCAATCCCTGTGCTGTGCTGTATCTGTAATCCAGCCCCTGTCCTGCAGGGCCACTCTCTCACTCACACACACACTCAAAGTTGTAGAGAAAGACGAGAACCAGAGGAGGAGGAGGAGAGTTTAATTTCAGAATGAGTCGACAACATAACAGTCCAGCGATGGAAAGCACAGATCGATAGCCCGACCTATAGATCGATACACAGCTTCAGAGATAGACACCCTATCCGTTAGCGAGTGTGTGTGAAGCAGAATAGGGAAGAAAAAAGGAGGAGAAACATGAGTCGGCAGCAGCAGCAGTCCCAGGGAGTGGTTTTAACGGGTTACCACAGCAACGCCGAACTGTTGCCGAAAACCGGACCGTGTGCTGCCAGCTGCCCGTCAGCCCTGGACCCCGAGGCCGGCGCGCCCAGGTGGGACTTATGAGTGTGTGTGTGTGTGTGTGAGAGAGAGAAGAGAAGGAGAGAGAAAGAAAGAGAGAGAGAGAGAGAGAGAGAGCAAAGGTCACAGTGACAGTGTTATTTTCCTTATTTCTGAGCTGTGGCAGGGTATGTGATAATGAATGCAGCCCTCTCCATCCTGCAGTGTGTTAGCAGCAGGATACACTAACTTCACTGCACAGCCTGGTCAGTTGCAGGCCCCCTTGGCTCTGGGTTATGTTTTTCCTTTAGCACATTCCCTAATCAGCAGATCAGCAGGTCAACCTTGACTTTGTTATACTAGCAGATTTTACAAGGTTGCATATCCAACTCTTCTACGCCACTGTAGGTGTAAAGGATTATACAGCCTAGTTAGTCACTGTCAGATATTTAGAGGCCGTCAGCTCCCAAATGTGAGGATCTTTTCTCTGTCTTTGCTTCATTGTGTATTGAATTTCAAGATGTCGCCTTAGGCTAGGGAAATTGTTATGGGCTCTTTTCACTATTTTCTTACAGTTTAAGGATCAAATGATTAATTGATTTAGAAAATATCAGCAGAATAATAATTACATCTCCCTTTAGATATCTTCAGACGTCTCCATTTGTTCCACCAACCATCCAAAACTTTGAGTGATATAAAACTGAGAAAAGTCATCACATTAGAGAAGCTAAAACAAGCAAATGTTTGGCCTTTTTGTTTGATGAGTGACTCAAACATTTAACTGATTCAGTGAGCCCCTGTGAACTGTGTTCCTCATGTTCCTCCATTCATTGATTCACAGTCACATCATCCGCTCCTTGTCAGCTTCTTACACTGAGACACACTCCGAGGTGCTGCCACAGAGGAAAAATGGGCTGAATGGGAACGAAGCTCACATGGAAACAACACTGTACAGTTACAGTCTTTTATTTATGACAGCACTTGTTTATTCATCCACGCCGAGCTGGCTCCGTGTGTCCAGTACATGTTTAGGCCGCTGTCAACAGCCGTGGTGTGGTGAAAGTAAACATCTCAAAGTCACAGCTGCCTCTGTGTGTGTGTGTGTGTATATACAGTATATCTATTGGTTGTGTGTATGCACGTGTGTGTGTGTTCCAGATGGCTCGTCCAGCTAACTTAAACAGAAAAAAACACAGCATCACGTTACAGCCTGCCTTTGTCTCACCTCCCATAGCAGAGTGTGTGTCCTGTCTAGGTTGACGTGAAGGCTTAGTTTTGTGGTCATTGTTTCCCCTAGTCAGGAAATGAGAGACAGGCAGACAGACAGACATCTAGTTAGTTAGTTCTGGCCTTTTACCAGCAGTGGACATCGGACCTCATGAGCCTAAGGTATCGTGTCCACTGGGAGTCTTCCACGTGGATGTCATGTCGTTTTCTGGTCATTCAGATGGAAAGAGAAGGAGAAGGTCAGCGTTTGGTTAAAGGGCAGTGTGTTTCTGTTTTTCACTGTCATGTAGGGAACTGGTGCTTCCCCATGCTTCAGGAACTTGGTAAAAAAAAAAAAAAAGTCAGTGGACACATGGTTTAGAATAATTTACTGTGTGGTGCAGCAGACAGACAGCCTGACCTCCGCGCAGAAACACAATGCTGCATGGGTGTCACTCAGACCCAATTTACACATATCCGGATGAGCAGGACTCACATTAGACTGCCAGAAATGAACAGAAGAAACAGCAAACATGCTTTGAAAAGGACATAATCCAAAACAACACATGGCAAGAGAGAAAGACAGCCCAAAAACAGCTGAAACATGGTGCCAGTGGGAGAGAGGGGGAACAGAGGCAGCCTCTGTTTCCTATAGAGGGCAGCTGGCACCTGTTGGTCTGAATGGTAATACCACACACACACACACACACTCTATTCTCATCCTCTTTCTTCTTATGTTGGCTGCAAAACATCCTCTGCAGCTCACTGTTCACTTTTTGAAGCTGCCAAATTCTAAAAATAAATCTGATCTTCTACAACATCCACCTACAGTGTGCAAGAAGCTCTGAAATCTTTTAAAAAGATTATTTTTCACATTTTGGGAAATATGCCTCTTCGCTTTTGTATCTGATTGTAAAATCAGAATGAGTCGTTTTTGTATGGATTAAACAAACAAGAAGTAAAGTGTTAATTAGGATGTGTTGAGACATTTAAGTTATCTGCCGTGAGACACAGTTTTCTGCTTGTATTTAATCAATATATTTAGGAATATTCAATCGATCATAACTCGTCCTCCTTCCTCTGCTATCCCTCTGCTCTTACCTTTTGATGTAACGACAGCACCATGTGTGGGAAACTCGCGAACTGAAACAACACAAAGAAGATGAGCTGGGAGGAGAGGTGCTGCCACAGCAACTGGCTAGTTCCTCCGATATCGGCGCCAAAGCGTTCCTCGGTCTTGTACTGCTTCATGGCGTACACCACGAGGTCCACCAGCTGCTCCTCCAGCATGCTGGCAGGGGAGCGTTATAGGAAGGAAGTTAAACAGATAAATGGCAGATTTGTGTTACCTTTTGGACAGAGTCAGGGTAGCTGTTCCAATCTGTTTCCAGTCTCTGTGCAAAGCTAAGCTAATGGCCGCTAGCTGTAGCTTCATATTGACTGCACAGACGTGACAATATCAATATTTTTCGATAACTCTATTTTAAGTAAAAGTAGCAATATAACCGTGGGGAAATCGTAAAAATACATATATAGTACGTTTTTTTAATGTAAAATAATGTACTTTCAAACATGTCTGCTGCTGTGGTGTGAAAACTGTCTCATTTTAGTTTGGACTGAACACCCTCTGGTCATGTGGGCTCAAATAGTCGACAGTGTTCACTTCCTCAGATCTTGACTCATATTCAGCTCATCAGCGCTGAACTTGCTCCTTGCTGGGTGTTTCTATTTCCTTCTATTCCTGATTGCACCTCGCCATGATTTGCACGCGGTTTTCTCTCTCTCCACACACACACACACACCTACACCTACACACACGACCACACACACTCCATCTTTGTCGGCAACTCTAAGCAGGTGATAAAAGGTGTGTGGATAAAGGTACAAAGAGTAGAACAATCACACACACAGCTGCAGCACTGCTTTCCTTTGAAGGTCATTTGTGCATTTGTATGAAAGTGTGCCAGAGAGAGAATGTGTTTGTTTTACTCACAAGGGCAGCCCACTGAACCTCTGTGAGCCTGTGTATAAGAGAGCAAAGTCATGTGTACTATTGTTTGTAAAGCCTAGAATCATTTTTAGTATTTTTAGTATTATTTTTGGTGTTTTTCTGCACTTTCACATGAACTGAGATGACTGCACTCCAAAGACACACACAGGAGTCTCAGTATTACGATCAGTTCGGTCAGAGGAAGCATGCGTGTCTTGCTTTTGAGGTTGACCAATCACTGAGTGGTCAACAGCACTAACATGGAGGCTGCAGAACTTAATTTTTAACATGGTTGTAAATATGTTTTCTTGAACCACAGGATCACGATTGAATGCAGAATGAGTGTTGATACGCGGCAAATATATCTCTAAACGGTCTCTAAACTACAGTAGTATGTAATCCATCCACAGAACTGAACGAGACGCTCTACAGCCAGGGAGTGTAGCAGGAATCTATGTTTCCAAACTCAATATCTAATATATTTAATATGACACATTATGGAGTGTTTTGATACATTGATATCTCCACAGTGGCTGAACAATTTTTTTTAAAACGTCCATCTTGCTTCGTTCTTTTGCAGTTTGAATGGGGACGAGTCCCTGCCGCCATGTTAGCTGCACTGTGAAGCTGTACTTAGACACACAGCGGTGCTTTGAGCAACATGCCTACACTGACAGCGTGTCATTTGCAAAAAAGCACAGCTGAGGTTCAAAGATTCAAGATTATTTTATTTTCATTTACAACACAGGGTTCCATAGTCAAATTCTGATTAAAGTTCCCTTTTTGCTACTCGTATTTCTAGTCAGGATACTTACTATTGCTCCTCTGTAGTTAACAAGAACTATGGCACAGGAATGTAGTTTTCTTAAATTTCCTTAAGAAATGCAGTTGATGGGAATGTCATTAGTTTAAGTTTAGATATTTGTCATAACCCAGTGCATTAAACAAATTAAAAGTTCCACCTGATGATGGTTCTAGAGGGAAAGTTGTCAAGTCATTTCACTCCAAACCACAAATGTCAATCTAACATTGGCTCAAAAAAAAGGGGATCACTAAAATCATTAAGATTCTTCCTCTGTGGACTGTGAATGTTTATTCAAAACTTTATAGCAATCCATCAAATAGTTGAGATATTTCAGTGTGGATCAAAGTGGTGGACTGACTGACAGACATTGCCGTCCCTAGATGTATGGTGGCTACAAATAGTACAAATGTAAGATCAATGTGAACACGTTGGTAACAAAGTGTGATACTTTGGACCTAAGCTGGTATGCATATGTAAAAAATATTATAGCTGAATGATTAAACCACTGTTTAATGTCTTCAATAATCAAACTACCTACACTGTCAAACTAATATGTGTGTTAATATGTCTGTGCGTTTGCCAATCTCTGATTTATGGTTTAGTCAAACCACTCTTCGCTTCAGCAGTAAATGATTAACTCATCCTGTGAGTTCATATTTGTGTCTGCCAGGCTTAAATCTGCTCCCAAGGTAAACAAATCTTCTCAAGTATATCAAAAAACACAGAGTTTTTGCAAGTCCTAGCAAATGAAAGCATTTTAATTGGTGAGGCTTTAGTAAGGCAATGAGCATACATCAGGGGAATGACCTGCTGAGTTTGCTTTTATCCAAGTAAGGAGGAACAGAGAGGAGTCGGACAGCATGTTTCTACTATCACACAGTGTTTTCGACTAAACCCTGCTGGGAAGTAGGAGAAAGGAGAGAGATCTATAGGAAAACACGGAAGAAAGCAAGGGTGAAATACAAAGTACCAAGTAGACAGGAAAACAGATGCAAGTCCCAGGCGAGGTGTAGGAGGAGAGGAAGTACATGACAAAAGGAGGAGGAGGAGGAGTGGGGAAGGAAGGACGGAGGAGGTCAGTTGTCGGCAAAATACCTGATGTTCTTTGTTCAAACCAGATTACTGTGTTATTAGTGTGTGTGTCTATATTTACCAGTGTTTTGTTTTATCGCTTTATTAGTATGTACAGTGTGAGTGGCAGGAAGTCTGCTGTGGTATGTGGCCTTGACTAGCATGAACCCTCAGTGTAATACTCCGCTGATAATCCCAAATTAATTAATATATCACATCAACTCGATGCTGTTCAGTCTGACTCCCCAGTTACCCTCACAGGGTAATTTATTTCCTTTACTTCAGTACATCTCAGTCAGAATTGTTACTTTTTCATCCTAATGCTCTTGGAGTGGAAAAGAAACCCACACACACACAGAAGGAATGTGCTGTGTTAGATAATGTAACTTCCTGTCACAACAAAGGGGGCATTCAGTCAGACAATTCAACTCATGTTAAAGCATACATTTTCTGATGTTATTATCCACAAATAACTATGTATTTATTTTACTTACCAGTACTGTGTACGACTTTGCCAATTGCCCTGGGGTAAAGCATTCTGATGATGTAGTATCACTTTGACCAATTTCTTGTCACTCTTTCAGATGTTACAGTTATATGTGAGCAGCAGTTTTGTCGCCCTGTTTGGGAACACTGTGGACATGTGTTTGTGTTGTGTGTGTGCATGTGTGTGGACTCCATACAGAATTAATGAGTTACAAACAATGTTAAAGGCCATTATCAAGGCCTCCCATGCAAGAAATACTAAAGCTATTGCATTTGTCACATATTAGATACAGCTGTAGGCCATAAAGAAGCCTCATCTGAGAAATCTGAGATCAGAGTTTGACTTATAGAGGAAAAATACTCTTTTGTGGGGTTTTTTTAGGTGATCATAGTTGAATAAGTAGGGCTGTTTTTTGCTAAATGTGATGTAAAAACCTTTAAAAGCACCAGAAAACATGAATACTAATATATAGCCGATGTTTAGTACTAGTGTGTGTGTGTGTGTGTGTGTGTATATATATATATATATATATATATATATTAAAAGAGCCCTCCCCTCACTCCTTGAATGGTGCTGGGGCTTTTGTTTACATTTGGATGACAGATTGCACTTTTAAGAGGAACTGAATAGGTTTTGGGTTTTATTACACAATGTGAGATATCTCACTGTTTCCGCAGTAAACAGGCACATTAAGTTGTGTACTGATTGTCATATGGGGGGCTGCCTCACATCTAGTAGTGTCTGTGTGCATTTAATAAACATGACCATACAAAATTAAAGTACATTAGACAAACTGTACTAGGTCATTCTAACTATAATTACCACCAATGGTTCAAGCTGTCTTAGCTAGGCTAGGCTAGTGTATTGTATGAGATGAGTTGACTGTGTTGAGCTAGCAAAGAGTGCAGTCTGTGTGAGAGCTGCTATTCTTAGGCCCAGCTGATGTCCTCATTAGCCGACTTGCTGGGAATTCAACACACTGCTGGCTCGTCTGTAGTTAGACTCTTTGGCCGACATGTGTCTGTCTGACTCACTGACCGTCTTGTGTCAAAAGCTGTCTCTCTCTGTCTCTCTGTCTCTCTGTCTCTTTCTCTCCTTTCTCCTCTTTC